AGATTTCCTCCTCTAAGCTGGTTCATAGGTTCAAAGGCCATGGGGACAAGGAACATCCCTTTGCCACCTAGATGAAACTATACACTATGGAGTCTTTGAAAAACAAGAAATCTAGACACATGTGAACAAGAACTGTCAAGCTAGCATTATAGTTTCTCTTCCAAGAGATCTCTTCAAGGATTATCTGAATTGGCTACAGAGGGTTCCTCTCTATGTGCTCACCTAACCCAGGCTTAGCTAGAGGTTGGTATTATCTATCCTAGACTCATGCCATGATCTATAGTCCTTTTGACTTAGGCTAGTCACCATGTGTTGGCCCCCCTTCATGCTGAACCACCCTCCAGCAAAGCCGATTCCGTGAACCACGACTTCAAGCTCGTCGACGACGCCTATTGCTCTCGGCAACCCTCAACCCAGGGCAGCCACCCCCTCTGCCATGGACCTTTTAGCCCGTTATAATGAGCCAGTTTTCCAACATGGGATGGGTGGCCTACCTCGCCAGGTACCACCTAATCCCACATGAAAAGGTACGTGATCTTCTCCCCAGGTTGCAGGTTCAACTCCCCCCCTCGCCCCCCTCGCCCCCCTCGCCCCCCTCGCCCCCCAAGATCATCATGATGAATAAATCATGAACCATTGCTCCTTCTGAGCTACCCTCAGGTTCCACCTTGACAAGAGGAAAGAAGAAAAAAAAAATTAAAACCCCCCCCCCCAAAAAACCCCCCCCATCTCCGATCCATACCCCAGCTCAAATCTTCATTCTCTCGAATTTCTTGAGGCGTTCTCTTTCAGCGATACATAAAAAAAAAAAACCTTTCCAATTGTCAATGGTCTAATCCTCAGCCAATGATGAGACTTCAAGTCTGAAGATGATCAATACCCGATACCTTGACATAACAAGTTGCGGTCAAAGAAGACATACTAACAAAGCTTGATAGGTTTAAATTTTTATTATTATTATTATTATCACCCTTTCTAATTCGGGTTTATTATTTCCGTTTTCGTAAATTGTTAATAAAGCTCAACGCGCTCGAATGAATATACGATGATCGGCACTTATTAAGATAAATGCGCTTATACGACAAGAGTATACGAGGAATGTATTAATTAGTGGATATAAAATTCTAACATGTGTAAGGCTGAAATATCGCTGGGGGGCACTATCCCCCCTTGTTAACCTTGGCTATAATGGGGTTTGCCGGTAATTGTCATATAACGGATGGTAAGCTGAGGTACAGCACATATAATACGGCCAGAATTGATGTGCAATTAAATGTGCCTTGGTAGTTGCGTGGCTTTCTCTGTAGCTAATAGAAACGTTGCTTTCAATGTGGAGGAGGGGCCGGTCGTTTGGAATGGGATAAAACCTTACCTAGCTGCTTAAACTGTAGGTACCTGGGCATGTAGGCTGATAAGGCACGTGGCGATTTCATCTCAAGGGGATCGGAAGTCGGCATGCTCTTGGGATCGATAGCTGGGTTTAGCCTAGGCTCGGTGAGGCAAAGTAGAGTTAAAAAAACAGTGGAAGCGGGGCCACCTGACATTTAGAGTTTCCAACGCAGGTAGATAAAGTCGCCTCGCCTCGAAGCATAAACGGAACTGTACCTGATATGTAAATGTGTGCATGTGCATCAAATGAAGCATTGCTAAGGTTATCTACCTACCTAATCGCCTTCGTATTGAATGAACTATGGTAGGTATTTTTTCCTCTCGATTCATTCTTTGTTCCTTTTTCCCACTTGCCTGCTTACCCGCCAAGACTCGAGTGCTGATCCGATGCTGGGCTCGCGAGTTAGGCTTGGCTTGGCCTTGCTTGGCAGCTGTGGGTGAACCGGCCAACACGGCAAAGTAGCGCTCCTTTTCGCTCCTTTGGCCTGGCAAGAAGCTGTTCCATGATGGGTGCTCAACTTAGGGGGCTCGTCTCTTATCATGCCCATCGCCGTTCGTCCCCTACTTTCTCTCGTTTTTCTCTCTTTCTCTGCCGCCCTGCCCACCTATGCGTCTGTCACGACATCCATTCATTCATTCATTTAATTAATTCCCCTTCTCTAATGACCCTTTTGAATTTGCATCCCTTTTTCCTTTGACGATCCCTACCTAGCGTTTTGACCATGTGGCGGGCATCGTCGCCTTGGAGAGATATGGACAAACTCCCCCAGCAGTTGTCGTCAAGCCCCCTGGTGTCTATGGTGCTGGCTCGGAAGCGATTACTACTGCTCCTGTTTGTGCCGCTGCTATTAATTAGTAAGTTCTGCTTCGTCGTCCCTGTTTCTATGCTGCGCGATCGCGCGCCCGTTTGCGCCTTTTTCTCCATCACCTCTGATCTCTCTTTCTAACTGTGTGGTGACGTAGTTTTGCTATTTTCCGGAGCCGTGGACGGCGAATGGTCGCAGCGCCTAGACAGCTTTAGCGACGGCATCAAAAATGGAGTCAGACCGATTCAGGAGAGTATACAGGAGGGACTCAACTACGTGACGGGTGATCCTACAGAACCCGATCAAGATTCCGTCGTCAGCTACGTGAAGGGCAACTCCTCCATCGCCGGTGGCAACTCCACCGTCGTCAGTGGCAACACCTCCACTGTTGGCTATGTTAAGAGCCATGCCTACAAGCGACCGGGCTTCGAACTCCCTCTCGCCGACGGCGTTCCTTTGCGCATCATGGCGCTCGGCGCATCGACGACGCGCGGCGACTGCCCCGACGCAGATATAGATAACAATGGTTTCCGACGACCCCTCCGCGAAAAGCTCACTACCATTGGCAATCCCGTCAACTTCGTCGGCACCCAGCGCATCGGAAACATGACCGATAATGATATTGAGGCCTATCCTGGAATCCCTACCCACATAGTTCATGAGCACGCCAAGCAGGCCGTGCCGCCGACGAAACCTAATCTTTTCCTCGTCAACGCCGGTTCCAACGACTGCTTCCAACACATCGATATCCCTAACTTCTATAAACGATACGACGCCCTCGTCCAGTACCTCCTCGAGGCCTCCCCGAGATCGACCATCGTCATCTGCACACTACTCCCCACCTGGGACACGCGTTTTAACGGACGAGAAGATGTTTGGCGGGTAAACCCCCAGATCCGGAGGTTGGCTAAGATTTACGAGGAGGCAGGGCTGCCCGTAGTGTTCGCCGAAATGCAAGGACCCGATGGGATCCAGGACGAGAACCTCGGCAGCGACGGCATGCACCCTGCGACCCCGGGCTACGAGATGATGGCCACCAAGATGTTCCATGCCATCGTCGAGGCGGACGCGAAGGGCTTCCTACAGTCCCCAGAGCACGTGCCGGGCATCCTTGACGACGGAGACGAGGAGAGGATGGACGAAAAGTACCTGGAGCACTTCAAGCAGAAGCAGCAGCAAGACGGCGACGTCCGGAGCGCCGAAGAGGCGGAGATCGAGAAGATGAAGGTTGAGCTGGTGAAAGCGAGAGCGGAGCGCGCACATAAAGCCGAGGGGTCAGTCGACAAGCGCTTCCCTAAATTATTGGTTGTATAAAAAAAGGAGTTCTTTTTTTTCTTTTTTTTCAATAGCATCTCGGGAGGCATACAAGCGATTTTCTTGTGTTTTGTGTGTGTATGTGTGTATAAGACAACATGTGTACGATGTCACGGCCCACGAAACCCTTACCCCCCATTTATACACTCCCATAATACATATAATACGTATATATGCTGTATAGTGTAATAGAGAAATATGTAGATATCTTGTTAAGTCCAGGGAGGAAAAAAGAAGGGGGGAAAGGACTAACTTTCCCCCCACTTCGATGTTGATCCTCTCTGCGATTCATTCAGGTGTATTTCTAGTCTCTGATTTCATAGAGGATGTATATATATATTTGGTTGAGATAGGATATTGCCTACGTGATATCGCGTAGCGGCTATGTATCTAGGTAGGTATTTAATGGGGAAGGCCGAGTTGAATTAGGTTTACCGACGCTATGGTTTTGACTACCTGCCAATACCTACGTAATTACCACATGTATCGGCATGTCGCTAAGCTACCCGACCTGTTGTTTAAAGTTAAATAAACTTACTCGACTTACATATAATGTACCTCCCGTACCTACCTACATATGTACCTAGAAAATGAGCGTGGGTTGAATAAGGATGATGGAGAACTAGGTTTACAGGGCGGGCCCTCTTCAGCTCTTTTTGTACCTCTTAACTACGGCCTAGTACCTACCGCACAGTATACCTGCCCAACCGACTTATACTAGGGAAAGCAAGGTATGAATTTAGTTCCATTGTGTCGGGTTCGAAGAAGAAGAAAAAGGGGGGGCGGGGTAATACTTCTTTCCTTTTTATCCCCCTTATCTTGTCCTGTCCACGCGGTGAGCCAAACCCTAGAATGCAATTGAACGAGGAAGGGGGAAAGGCTTAATTATAACTATCTACGCTCAGGTCATATATTTCGTATAGTGAGTGATAAGTAAAGCGGGAAACGACTTAACTTAGCAAGCGTTTAAAGCTTAAGTTTAAGCAATTTTGACGCGGGGCTAGTTTGCACATATCCGAAGGCTGATTGATATTTATTTGATAGGGCCAATCAACAATTTAATACACATTCAGCTAGAATTGATTACATTTAAAAGTCTATGAGCCTCGCAGTTATCATGGTCGCTTGAGCCTCTTCTAAAATCTCTCAACCTTAAATAATAAATGACTCAATTAATGTTCGCTTATGTTATCTTATCTGTTCCATCTTTGATAGAGGTTTTTTTTTCTCTTTGGGGCGCCCGAAGGCTTATCTTCCAATTCTTCTCGGGGTTCGGACAATGAGATGCATACTCTCAAAGAAGTAGCTGCTTATTTTTAGTACTTGGAAGTCTCATACTTATGCCGATGGCGGATCTTGAAGAGCATGATGGCGGACTACATAAAAATTTATATCATAAAAAGCAAAAAGTAAGGCCAAAATAAAAAGAGAGAGCATGTGTGTTGTGTGTGTGCGTGTGCTTAACAAAAAGAGAAACCGAATTGTCTTATCTGGTCCCACTGAGGATTGAACTCAGAACCTTCGCATCACTAGATAATACGAAGAAAATCTTCGATATTATTAGTACGACGCGCTAACCGATTGCGCCATGGGACCGTTGCCGATTTCTGTCTGTATAGTCAATTTTATCAGAAAAAAGAAAAACCACTTCGCTAAGAAACCTATCCGGCCTACCAACAACCAACGAACGATACGGTTTAATAATCGTGTTATGTTTGCAGTAGAGTGGTGATCATTGAAGCCATGTTTTCTCTATGAGTGTATTTATTTATATACGGGCATGCGATGATTCTTTTTTTTTTAGCGACGTCTCCATGTATGGCGTTGGCATCTTAGCAGATACATAATTTGCATGGCGATCCTTCCAAGGTCAGTGTTGTTCTATTGTTAAATTTCGGGTTTGCTGTCGTTATGATCGATGCCTGTGATGGTCGAAGAGTTGTAGACGACGACTTTTGCATACGCGGCGGCGCAAAGTTCCAATCTGGTAATCAAATTCAACTGGTAATTGAAACCACGACCTACAGGAATATGGAAGCTAGAATTGTTGCTATTCATAAGTTACAATTGCCGGATTGATCTAGTGAGAGTTGAGGCACGGGGGCAAGTATTAATTCAGGGCTGGTAACTCAACTCAACTCAACTCAATAGTCATTCCTCTAACGTATCTGGAACCCCCAGCTGTTGAATATGAGAGCGCACACACTCGAGGCTCAAGACGTCGTCGTCATCGCCCCAGCGGTGCTAAAGATCGTGCCAATGATAATTTCAGTTCTGGGAATCATGGCGGTCGAGACTGCTTGCCACATCTCCGCCCCATCTCCTGACCTGAGATACTTGGTGTCGTTCTAGTAACGAAGCGCAGCTGCACCTGATGCCAGACGGCCCTCCCTGTCCGCAAGGATGCCTATTATCTGCGAGCATAGCGGATCTGAACTGTAGAGTTGCGTGGCAGTCCTGTCATCCTCTTGGCTCTTTACTGCGTCGGCGGAGCACTGGCAAGCGGTCGCAACCGCGGCGCTGTCACTGCTGCTTTGACCAAGCCGCCGGATGGTTATACTATCCTTTAAAGCGCTCGTCAAGATCTCTATGCTTCGAGCTAAGGGTTGCAATATTACTATCACCTAGAATTGCGAATGGGAAGAGTTTGTATCTTGCGTTCCCTTATAATCCTTAGGCATGTGGCATTTTAGTCTGATGACCTGCATATCCTCTTCTCTTGTCTCCTTTGTGTGCTTAGCTAGTTATGTATAGATGCTCATTGTTAAGCGTGTTTCCATTCTAACAGGTGGCTTTCATAGTGGTTAGCATGTGGTGTATTATACTGTCGTTATATACTCTCTTCTCTTCTCTCTCTCTCTCTCTGTGTGTGTGTGGGTGTCTTTCTTTTCCCCCTAAAGGGTTTTTTCTTCTTTCACTATAATATGAGCTAGACCGAACTTTTCATATATCACTTATATGGCAGAACTAACCACGATATTTGTCAAATATTAGGTACTTAGTGACTATATGACACACATATACCATGTAGGCTGTCTGGCTTTTTCCTTGCGAGAGTAGCGACGGATGAGCTCGTTCTAGGCGGTTTCCAGAGTCTAGTCATAGATGACAGTGGGTTATCCCATAAGCAAATTGATAACTAGAGTCGTCATACTGACTTTACCAAGTTACGCCGTCTCCTAATCCACTGGGACAACAAGAACGATGATGTTGTTGCATCACTGCAAATGGCCGAGGTGGTCATGGACGGCCATTTCAAGTCTCTCCACACGTGGGGATTATCAATGTCTCACACTAGTGCTAGATAAATACTATTCTACGTCGCCATGGTGAAGCTCTACGCAAGCTTTGGGTGGTCCCCTGCCGGCGCTATCGCTCACGGATGCCCATAACTGTCTTTTCAGAAGTCGTTACCCAGCGTCTTGCTGAACAATGCCCGGATTTAGAAACAAGTCGAGTTTCCTATCAAAGGGACGGGAGGAGACAGTTAAGAAACAGTTATATACCGAACGTTGAGTAGACTGTGGCGGCCAAAGCATGCCTCCTTAAAATTACGGTTCTCGATAGGAAAGGTCGAAGAAGACGATGAAGAGCAGGGTGAAGAACAGGAAGAAGAGTGGGGGCATCCAAGTTCTTGAGCGGGTTGACATGGACTAAGTCAAGCAAAGCTGAAGGCGGACCATAGCGGACGGCGATTCAAAGAGGGGACGCACGGCTGACGGCTACATTTGTATGTATGACCTGCATCGAATGTGTTGTTCGTCTAGCCGGGTAAGAAATATATGCGCGTATGTACAATACGCCTACCTATAAGCGTGTGTAACTAGTAGATGCTTGTTAGTATAGTCCAAGATATAGTCTAAGATCAGGGGGGGATTGGGGGCCAAAACGCTAAGCCGAAAGTGTCGCGTGCGCCGCGATGACCTAACATCCATAAGTAGCTTAGACTGATTGCATTCTACGATCGCCGGTGCTTCTGGTCATGTATTATTTATTTAATTAAACGAGAAGAATACGCAAAGTAAGTGCGACGCGCCGTCCGGGAAAAAGTTCAAGTGCAAACCAGCCACTCTCCCCTCGATGTGTTATGCAAACATTGCGACTGTGCGGTCAGGAAGCGTCTAGGTTCTTCTCATGATCAAAGATGCGGTATAGCCTCTTATACAATATACTTGCGAGCTCAAGAATTGGAAAGCTGGCTCGAGATACCGTAGTCTATGGACTGTGAATTTTTCATAATATCTACTTCTTGATGGCTTCTCAGGACAGCGTAGCAAGCTCCCAGCCTGACCACCGACACCTTCGCCTCATTGCCGCATCGGCACAGGCGAACGAAGCGCGAGTATGCGACATACTTGCCGAAGAACCTCCCTGGACCTCGGCAACCGATCACGATGCGCTGCGGCAGGCCTTGCAGAAAGTTGCTGCTCGCGGCAAGCTCTCCATCGTGCGTCTTCTTCTCGATCGCGGCGCCGAGGTGAATGTAAAACGCGAGAACGAATCTCCCGCTATAGTCAAAGCGGCTGAAGGAGGCCACGCCACTGTCGTGTCAGAGTTACTTGTTCACGGTGCCGACCCAGATGCGCGCACCCGCTCTGGCCAGACCGCGCTGTTTAGCGCCTGCTTGAGAGGACATGATAAGACCGTCGAAGTTCTCTTGAACGGTGGCGCTAGTATCGAAGCCAGAGACAAGGAAGGGCGGTCCCCGTTGTTATTCCTGGCCTCGGAGAAACCGACAAAGGCGAAGTGGACAGTAGACACCCTTAAGCTCCTGGTAGAAAAGGGGGCCGATCTCGAGGTCAAAGATCATATTGGCCGGACGCCACTGCTGTGGGCGGCCACGAATGGCAATCTCGGGCTTGCGCGCGTTCTTTTAGAGAGCCGTGCCGACATATCTGCTACCAACCACCGAGGTCGCACCCCCTTACATCTTGCGGCTGAGAGCAATGATAAGACGCATCGCGAGGACATGGTCAAGCTCCTCATCAGTCATGGTGCTAATCCTAGTGCCGTCAGCGACGGGGGCTGGACGCCCCTTCACAACGCTACGCAAAGCGGTCACATCGATATTGTCCGTCTGCTGTTGGATGCTAAAGCGAACTTGAATGCAGAGCTATCTAATGGCATGACGCCCCTACACTGGGCAGCGTTCAACGGCGAGGAAGAAATCGTCCGGCTCCTTCTGGAGAAACCCGGCATCAATTTGGCCATCAAAGACGGCTTCGACCGGACACCGATGCTTTGCGCCGCCGAGAAGAACCATCCCGAGATCGTCCAGCTGCTGTCGCCTGCCCGATCTGCTCACCGCCTATCGTTGCTTGAGGAGAATGCGTGCAAGGCCTTCGAGGCCACGGTAGTTGACTTTGGGCAGTTTGAGAAGAAACAGCTTGTATCTAAGCACTCGGTCTACGAGCTCCTATACGGGTGGGACCACGAGAATGACAAGCCGAAGGTGCCTACCTTGACCAAGAACATCAAGTATCAACCCGACTTCAGATGGATTCATCTTCCTGCGAATAATGTGATTGGGTATCCTCCATTGCCATATTGAACACTGACTAACGCTTTGTCATAGATCACCTGGGTTGAGGTAGCTGAGCGTCTCTGATTTTCATGTTGTCTATGTGCTTACAGTTCGTTAGACTCTCCTCGCTAAGTCCTTCGTTGAAGCAGGGCACCGGGACATCGAATCATTCAAGGCGCTAGAGAAATGCTTTGATCAGGAGCAGTATGTATTTTAAGAGTTCATCCCTGCCCCCTTTTTGGGTCACGTTTCGGGAGCTAGAAATTCCTTACTAGGGCCATTTGAGAGCATTTCGCTGCTGAGACATGCGTTTCGCCCCCCCTTTTCTTTATTAGAAAGGATGATTTTTAACTTACATCTATAACCAGTCGCGGCCCATTCGCCCACGCCCATTTCATGCGGACGTTCTGTCAGCGTATTCTGTCGCCGCGGAGTGACACTTCGGATGGGAAAGACGATAAACCCCTTATGCCCCTAACAGAAGAACAACCGGAGGCGAGCACGAAACCGAGCCAGGGTGGAGCGGAGTTCATGCCCAAGAAACAGTCTGATTACGTAGAAAATATTATGACGTCCAAGAAGAAGAGCAAATCGGAACAAATCGCCGAGCGACATCCGAAGAAGCATAAGCGAGCAAAGGGCCCTCCCGGCAATCCTCCTTCGAGACAGGAGAGTAGCTCTAGTAGCTTGAATGGAAGGTTATCCGCGCCACTCGCTTGGGAGACATCAAAGTTTGCCGCTTCGAGTGGGAAGATAGTTTTGTTTGTATGCGATCCTCATTTTGTTTCTCAAGTTGATTTACTGATGTATCTGCGTTCTACAAAAAAGATGCCCTTCCTACATTACGAGACAGATGAGAGGCGCCGAAAGATGAGCAGGGCCATTAAAACTGTCCGCGAAGGCCGCCGCCATATCGATAATACTTCCAGAGATTCTCTGCTTGTCAATGCTTATTTAAATAATACACCGCCCCTGCATCCGCGACGGACGCTCGACCAGTTCTTCTACCACGGAATCGACACTTCAGTCAGGGATACGGATCAGGTCGTATATAGGTATTGCAAGAGACATC